TCTGCATCCCAGAAAGCACGCAGTGTGAGGCAAGGAGGTTATTTCACACTCTCTGAAAGCTGGCAGTTCTGCTGTGAGCACAAGCTGATCTCAAACATTTCCACGTTCAGATCCCAGGGTCTACTGAGGGAAACATCCTGATCCTGCCATCAAAATGGTTGAAAGAAGTTGTGATGTAAATCCAACCCAGAGCTGCAATGAAGCTCAGGCGAGCTTAAACACAGGAGAGACTGAATCCGCCTCACCCAATCTTAACAGCTGCCGTTAGAAAATAAGCACCCTTCAACAGAAGTATATACCCAGGGCAACAAATCAGGAGTAAAGAGATTATCCATAATTATGAAGGCATCATTTCACCGAAGAAATCCTAAATGTGCATGCACTGAACCGTGACACTTCAAAGCCATACAAAAACTGAGCTGAAAGGAATATACTCTGTCATTTTAGTTGGGCACATTTATTTCTCAGTAACTGGGACACCAAATTTCAGGAAGGTTATATAGATGAACTGAGTAATGCCATCCACAAAGTAGAGCCAAGGCAATTCCATAATAATCAAACGCAGATCATACACTAGTTTTCATTATGCATCATGTTGATGTTTCTCTCCCACTCTAAAAATGAAAAGTTTTTTAAAAGGTAAAAGAGTTACATAGTAGGCAAAAACTTTCAACAATTTAGATGATATGGACAAATTTCTTGGGGAAAAAACCTAAGAGCGAGAAAAAGAAAAGTTGAATACAAAATTGAAAATTTCCACAATGAAAGCGTGAAGCCTGGATGCCTTCCTTAGTGAATCCTTCCTGACAGTTAAAGAAGAAATAATTCCAATCCTATAAAAATTTCCAGAGATTAGGAAAAGTAAAACAATCCTTCCCGATAGTTTTACTTAGACCAGCATAACTGGTGACAAAATGAGACAAACACATTGAAAAAACAAAAATGTAGATGTATCTCTTTCATAAACATAGATGCAAAAATCCTAAACAAAAAGGCAGACTGAATCTAGTGATGTGTAAAAATTATATGATGATCATGTGGCTTATTCCATCCATGCAAATATGATTTAACTAAAAAAACCACTATTCCACCACAACACCAAAATAAAGGAGAAAAACCTAGTCCAGAGACATAGAAAAAAGTTACTGAAATTAAACTTGAATTTATTCAAAGCAAAACATCCTAAAACTAAAGATAAATCCCATACCTCATATGATAATTTGACGTTATTAACTGTAAGTCAATGTATTTTATGACCCTAATTCATTGTTGTTAGCCATTTTTTTGTTTGGCATTTGCTGAACACTGAATGTCCCAGATAAGATGTTTACAAACATTGTCTTATGTGAGCCTCCGACCCCACCCTGAGCTAGCGACCCCTTCCCTTGTTATTAACGAAGAAACAGTCCAGTGAATACTGAAACACTTCAGAGGCCCCCCATCGTTAGGTGGCCTCCTCTCACTCTCGGACGGAAAGCCTGCATTCCTCGCTTCAGCACAGAGCTCTTGATATTCGCAAGCGTCCTCAATGAGGACAAAGTCTTCCTAAGCTTCCGTTTTAATAGGGGCCTAATCTTGCAAGGAAAGGTCATGAACCCAGGCGAGCTGTAAATAACAAGCTGCCTTTGCTCTCGTACTATGCTGTCTAACGGGTCATTAGCACAGAGCGCATTCGAAAGCAAACTTACCTGCTGTTTCTTCGGTACTTGGATATTCCAGGGTCCATTGACTGGACTGAGGTTCAAAGAGTTCAGAGAGCGACCCGGACTGGCCCCCTTGGAGACGTGGCGTGGCTCCGAGAAGGGGCTCTGCTTCCGTGGCCGGAAGGCGTTTCCCGCAGACGCCGGGGAGGAGGGTGTTGCTGCAGGCAACGTCTCTCCGCGCCCCTCCTCGTACTGGGTCCCTCGGGTTCGCCTCCCCCAACCCCGTTTGCTGTTTTCTTTTTCCACGCCTTGGAGAGACTCGAAACAGAAAAACAAAGTATCTTTTTATAAAAGTTAGAAAACATGAATAAGAAAAAAATCAAAATGCCTAATAAACATAATTCTATCTCCCAGGGTCAATCAGGATTCAACATTTTATGTCTGTACTTTTCAAATGGGCTCCCATCACTCACACTGTCTCGTAAGCGCCATTTTTATTGTACGACGCGTCGCGGTCCCCACCGGCCGTCAGCAGTAAGTGTGATTAGTTAGCAAATCTTCCGCCAGCCGCTTAGATTGGCCCCAGACTTTCTTCAGCAAACGCTGAAATGTCTTTTTGCCGAAGTCTTTTGCATAAGCTTTGCAGCCAGATATTTTTTTTTCTTTCCAGTCAGACCTTGACCACCCTTTAAGGGCCAACTCGCAGCCTTCCTCTCTCGTTTCTGGAACACGCTGGGGAGGGCAGCTCGCAAAGTGTGAACTGCGCCGAAGGCCGAGTCTGACCAGGACGTCAGCAGCTCAGGGATTCCCACCGACTCGGCCAGGGTCAGCGAGCGCCCGGACCCCGCCCTCCGCCCTCGTGGAGATGTCCCCAAGGCGCGCTGCCCGACGCTCGGGATCACGCGGAGGTCAGCCCGGGCGCGGCATCAGGTTCGCTCGGGGCTCTTCCCGGTGCCCCTCGGGCCCGGCTCATGGAGCCCCCTCCTGAACCGCGAGCCCCGCGGCCCGCAGGTCTCTGCTCCCGCCCTGAGTCCTTGGGTCCCACGGGTCCAGGGAGCGATCCCTGCAGGGCTTGGCTCCTCGGTCCACCTAAACAGGTGGCCTGGGGTCAGCCAAGGGTCACCGCTTCCTCCTGCCCCCGCCTCTGGTGAGTGGGAGCGGTGGCGCCCTCGCCTCCGCCGCAGCCCCCAGGAGCCGTCTGCTCCGCCCAAGAGCTGAGGACTTGGAGGGCCAGGTTCGATGGCGCCTCCGAACACCAGAATCTCTTGGCGCCCCCTGGACTGCGCGGACCCCGGTAACAGGGGGAGTCAGGCGGGGCCCTCGTTCGGATTGGCCGCAGGCTCGATACTTTGTAGCGACTGCACCTCCTGCACCACCCGGGCGCCGCCGCGGCGCCTCTCCGCAGCTGCGGGAGGAGCACGTGCGCGCCGGGAGAGCGCGGAAGTGGGCCGGGGGTGGACCGAGGGGGCCCGCGTCCCGGGGCGGATGCAGCAGGGCAAGACTCGGCTTCCGCGACGAGCAGCGCGCGGTGAAAGGTACGTGGCGTCGGGTCCTACCCAGAGGGATGTAGGGGTCAGGCCTCCGGGCACAGCCGCCTCCCCTCCTCCCCTCCTCCCCTCCGCTCCATCCCCTCTCAGGGCCGGGTACCTTCAGGGTCCGGGTCCCGTCCTCAGGAGCCCGCCCTTTCGCCTCCTTCCCGCCCCTCCTGGAGCCCGTTGGGTCAGCGCTGGAAGAAGCCCGGGTCTTGAACCTTCCTGTCCCCGTCGAACCCCTGCACCCTTGGCTCCCTCAGGGACATGGGACCTGGGCCTCCTGCCCATCCAGGCGGGGTGAATCGCACGGCCCCGAATCAGGACCGGGGAAAGTGGCGGCGTAGGTGAGAGCGCATCCGCGGGTGGGCAGGCGGCCGTGGAGCCCGGAGGACGGGGCGGCAGGGCGCGCAGATTTTTCACGACCTCAGTGGAAAGGTCGAGAGCATTTGTTAAAAGTTTATATGTCCCACAGCACCTCCTGTTAACTTGGTCCCCAGGAGTCTGGTCCGCAGAAATAAGGTCTTACCTGTGGAAAGCAGTCACTGGCAAGTTGCCTAAACGTGCAAGGCTGCAAAAGCCTTGAACAAGTTGGAGCCCCTCCTTTCGTGGGATACTTTGCAGGACCAGGCGTATGCGCCAGGAAATGTCTGTGGTACTCGCCGGATAAGCAGTCCCTCTGTGCTGTTAGAAACAGGCGTGTGGCCCCGGCCGGTGGTGTTCAGTGGATTGGGCGCCAGCTTGCGCACTGAACGGTTGCTAGTTCCATTCCCGGCGAGGGCGCCTGCCTGGGTTAAGGGCCAGGTGGTGCAAAGGGCAACCAATCGATGTTTCTCTCACATGTTGATGTTTCTCTTCCTCCCTTCCCCTCTATCTAAAAATAAACAAAATATTTTTTTTAAATAGGTGTAATAGACATGTTTTTGTACGAAAAGAAACAAAGCCTTCAAATCCACCTGGTCTAGTTTACAGGGTGGGGGCTGCAGAGTGGGTGGGGGCTGCAGAGTGGGGTTTGGGATGTAATGGGTCAGTTCTCTTCGCTCGGGCGCTGACGTCAGCCTCCTGGGACCAGGGTTACTCAGGTCTCAGCCCCTTGTCCTCGGTGCCTCCACTGAATGCAGCTGGGAGGGCGAGGGAGCCAGTTCCGGCCTTAGCCGGCACAAGGAGGCCTAGCAAGGTGTATTCCATTGTGTAGAGTGTTTTTTTTTTTTAAGTGTTTAAAATTTGTGTGATGAGGGCAACCTTTAAATCTTTGTGCTTTTCAAATAGTAAGTTGGAGTTTAAAAAAAAAATTCAAAAGAGTTAAACCCTGCGGGCCCGCGGCTCCTCTTTGCAGAATGTAAATGGCCTCTACCCAGCCCCTGGCCCAGGAAGCCTCTAAGGTCTGGCAGAGGACTTGGCGTCCGTCTGGCAGATGCTGGGCAAGTCTGATGACCTCCATGCTCAGGGCCCCCGCCCCACTGAGTCCAGAGGAGGAATGAAACCAAACACCATTACTGTGTGGCTAAGGACAGGTAGAAACAGGGTGGTCCGAGGACCAGGGCGGGGCCTGTGTGCGGGCCACTGGGGGACAGACGGAGGGTGCAGAGGAGTGAGTGACAGCACCGGGCTCAGGAGGGGTGCACAGCCGGGGGACTGAGAGGAACTGCCACAGTCGGGTCCCTTCTGCCTTTTGTCAGGTAAGCTCTCATTGCCACCTTGCAAGTACCTGTGGCAGGAGGGGCCTCTCCGAGTCAGTCTGAGGACTGATGCACAATCAGCCTGTCGTCAGCACTAGCCATTGTCCTGACTGTCTCCTTGTTTACAGAGGGGCACAGCCGAACACAGGATGCAGAGTTTCTTGAAGATGCTGAGGGGGTGTGGGGACACCAGCCCACCTCTGGAGGAGCTGATGACCCTCGCCGGCAGGCTATTCCGGGACCTCCAGGACGATCCTGCCCAGATGCAGCCCTTGGTCACAGCTGTGTTGGACAGCCAGCTCCGCCTGTACCTGCTGGACAACGAGGATGTGGCCCTGGCGTGCGCCCGCATGCTGGCCCAGCAGGAGCAGCACCAGGCTGCCTGCCGGCTGCTGGAGGTAGGACTGGTTTGGGCCGGGGGGACGGTGCAGAGAGGGGCGCAGGGCGGTGTGCCCGGAGGTCAGCAAGGACCTGGGGAGAGGTGCTGTGTCCACTCCCACTGCGCTAAGTTCTAAATAGTGTGGGGGCCAGAGGAAAAACGGTCCATTTATCGAGTCCTTATTGAGTGGTGGTCCTGGCTTGGAGGGCCGGCCTGCCAGTTACTGAGCCCGGCAGTCAGGCAGACCCAGGATCTCAGTCTGGTAGCTGAAGGTCTGCAGTCGAGACCTCTGAAACCAAAAATCTTTTTGTCATTCATCCAGTGATACTGGGAACCTCAAGTCGTTTGGCCTCGAAAACTAATCTGCATTGATCTGAAGGAATTTATGGTCTTAAGAAAAAGGTTTTATCACATTTAGAGAGAGGGGAAGGTAGAGAGAACGAGAGGGAAACATCAACTGGTTGACTCTCATATGCATCCCGACCAGGGACCCAGCCCTCAGTCCAGACCTGTGCCCTGACCAGAAATGGAACCGGTGACCTTTTGCTCTGCGGAACGCTGCCCAACCGAGCTATGCGGGTTGGGGCTATGGCCTTCATTTATCCACTTACTAGGACAGTGGTGCATTTTGCTGTCTAAATATTGACATACTTGATTGCAGGACGCTGCCTGCCCCAGACTATGTGGGTCCACATTGTACAGCGCATGCCTGTGTTACTTGGTAAAACCTGAGGAATTCTGAATTCCAAAATACAAACTGCTCGCAGGGTTTAGCGAGGGACGTGAGGGCCTGTCTTTCCCTGTTTGACCCCACATTACAGTCCATGCATAATTCATGCTGGGTTTACTTTAAAGATATTGACTTTTCCCCAGTTCTTTGTATTTCCTCTCCCTGCCCTCCCAGCCACAGGGCGTCCCCCGGCCCCTTGAACTGTCTTCACGCAGCGGCCGGAAGAAGTTGTAAGACTGCAGGTGGGACCATGTGTGTCCAGGGCAGCGGCCCCAGGGGGCCTGGGGGCTGCACCTGCCTGCTCTCCACCTTGTCTCCACTCTGTCCCGGCCTCCTCCACAGCGGCCATGCTGCCTTCCTCGCTGGTCCTAGAATTCCCAAGATATTTCTTTGTCCCAGAACCTGTGCACATGACGTGCCGTCCGCCAGAGGCTGGTGCCTTCCCCCCTTCCTGGTTTCTGCCTTAAATGTCACCCCGTCTGGCCCTGGCCAGTGTGGCTCAGTTGGTTGGAGTGTCCTCCAGTAACAGAAAGGTTGTGGGTTCTCTTGCCAGTCAGGGTGTACCCCTAGGCTGTGGGTCTGACGCCCAGTCTAGGTGGGTACAGTCACCCAGCCAGTGTGTACAGGAGGTAACTGGTGGACGCTGCTCTCTTGAATCGGTATTCCTCTCTCTCCTGTCCTCTCTAAAAGCCATGCAAAAAAAAAAATTACAAAAAAGAAAAATAAATGTCACCTTGTCTAGGGAATAACCCCTTTACCCCCCAGTGCGCCCCCCCCCCCCGTTCTACCCGCTGATGCCTTCCCTGGGTCTTAATTAGAATTCCTGGTCAGTTTGTGCCTCTTCTGCCTCCCCTCGCTGCACAGTGGGCCCCATGAGGGAGGGGCTGCTCCTTTCTTGTTACAGGGTCGATGACACCCAGCATCACACCTGGGACATAGGAGGGGCTCAGTTTCCAGCTCTCCACACCTCCCTCGCCAAAACGGTCCTGAGAACACCGAAGTTAAAGGCGCGAGACACACCCTAACCAAGGTGTCTGGGCAGGCCAATGCCATACGTCCTTGGCCACCTGCAGAGTCTGGTTGCGTGAAGAGGCTAGGACCTCTTGCTCCCACTCAGCTCAGAGTACACTCGCTGAGGACTGAGGAGCCAGCCTGCTGGAGGGAGAAAGCCTTTCACATAAGATGCGGGTCAAGCTTTGGAACCTCAACTCTGACAGTGTGGTCCTACCACAGCTCTCTGCCTCTCATGTGGCCGTCGGCCACTCACCTGCCTGCCCTTTGCCTCGTGCTCCTCACCTGCGAGGAGTGACTGAGCGCTGTGCTCACCTTTGTGCTTTGTGGGAGGGTTGAGGTGCTGATGTGAATGGGTGACCAGATGGGCCACCGGGGACACAGCACTGCACCTAGTCGCGAGCAGAGCCCTGGCCATCTGGCCACGCATCAGTGAGGAGCTCTTTCCCAGGGGTCAGGCCAGGTCAATGGCAGTGCTCCAGGTGGGCGAGGGTGGCCAGGTCTCACCAGGCTCTTCTTGGCAGGGGTGCCGTGTGCCAGGAGGCAGCCAGGAGCTGGTGCAGCTTTGGAATGACATCCACTACCGTCTGGCCATGAAGAGGCTGGGCGTGGCCACACTGAGCCCAGTGCAGAAGTTCCGCTGCAGGAAGAGGTACGCCAGCGGGCCTTGCCTGTGCTCCTTCCCCGGGGCTCCTGCGGGATGTGCCGCCCAAAGCCGCAGGAGGGGTTGGGTGAAACAGGCAGGGTGATGAGGGCAGGGAGGGTCAGATGAAGCACCCGGTAAAAAGGTTCAATCAGGTTCATTACCGGCCGATGTGCCCTACGTAGCCCCAGCCTCCATCTGCTCAGTTGGCCACGGGGGTACATCCCCAGCTCTGCCAGCAGGGGAGAAGGAGTGGCTCCCTGCTGGTCTGTGGGCCACTGTGCTCCTGGCAGCCCAAGCGCCGGGACTCCTGAGCCATGTGGCCTGGTTACCAGGAGAGGTGGATTCCTCTTGTACCAGAGAGAATGTTTTCTTGCTTCCCACCAAGTAGGGAGAAATACGTCCTCAAACCCGGGAGTTCATGAGCCCCGAGGTCTTCAGGGGTGCGGTTGTGTCCCTCCATTTTGATGTCAGTGGCCTGCCAGGGTGCAGCTCGGTAGAGTGAATGATTTGGGACCACTGGGTGGTGTTTGTGAAGAGGCTCCTCATGGCCGGGAGATTGGAGGTGCCGGGGATGGAGACTGGGCTTTGCTCTCCCAGAGCTGACCTTGGGTGTGGGCGGCGGACAGCAGGCAAGGAAACCAAAACCAAGTGCACCCTAAAACTCAGAGCGAGGGAGGAATGCTGGACAGAAGGCCTTCAGAGGAGGACTGGGACACGCTGTTCTTCACCGTGGGGAGGGGCTGCAGTGCAGGCCGGTCCAGTCCTTGGAGGAGGGACCTGAGCACGTGGACGTCGGGCAGAAGGAGGGGGCGGCACTGGAGGTGCAGCAGGTGGTCAGTGCAGGAGCAGAGGCAGGCTGTTCTTGGATTCTCTGGCAGTGGCTGAAGAAAGGGTTGTGTGAAGATAGATTTTGGAGGATTTGCTGATGGCTTGGGTGTATTGGAGGAGGAAAAGAAAGAATAAAGCGGGACTGCAGTGCTCTCGGCTTGAGTGTCTGGAAAAGGGTGGTTTCTCACCAGCACGCACAGAATGGGGGAAGGGAAGACTCGGGGAGCGGCAGATCCAGCTCCTCTTCTGCTCTGGGGTGAACGCGAGGGATTTTTTTTGACATCTGTGGGGATTTGTTCAATTGGTGTTTGGATATGAAGTCTTGCACAGACAGGTACTGTTTGTTTATATGTCACTATTTTCTTTTCCAAAAATTCAAATTTACACAACAGCGAAGCATAACCAAGCTCAGTATCCTCATTATCCAGCTTCAGTTCACTGGCCATCTGTCAGCACTGGCATTCCACTGAGTGGGGAGGCCTCTGGGAACGTGTGGAGCAGGGTGCCAGCCAGGCGAGCCCCTTCCTCCTCCAGGGTATTAGCCCCTGGGACTTTGCAGCAGCGACGGGCAAGGCATGGCCGGGGAGAGGAGACGAATTGCAGGGGTGCCCAGGGTTCTGCAGCACTTGAGGTGTATCCAGCAGGGATGTCTGTAACCACCTCCTCACTGTCCTCACCCAGGAACCCACCACCACCCTCCCTCTGCCCTGAGGGCCTGAAGAGCAGGAACTTCCCTAGAGAGGTTCGCCAGAAGTTGCATGACTTCGCCTTGGCTGTGAGCAGCAGCCCCAGCAAGGATGAGCGGGTAAGAGCCCATGAGAGTTAGGCCAGACTACCCTCCCCTTAGCCGATCTTCACCTTAGGTGACACCCCGCCCTTAGGGGACCCGTCTTCCCAGGGCGCTGGTGGTCTCCGGTTCTCCTTGACCTGTCCTGGGGACCGGAGCGCATTGTCTGGTAGCCCCTGACGGCCCAGCCTGCACTCGTGGAGGGTTTAGTTTTCTCCTGTGAGGTCGCCTGTGGCTCCAACAGATGCTCCCTGAGCCACACCTGCTTTGGCCAGACACGAGGTACCGAGTGAGGGTGTTGAATCTCTGCCTTCATGGAGCTTCCAGCGGGGGCGCGGCGGGGGGGTAGCTGCCCGCTGCTCAGAATGGGGCCCTGCGTCCTCCGCCGCTTGGCTTCTCCGTCCACAGTCAAGGATCTGCTGTGTTGGTCTAATTTCCCTCCTTAAATCAGCAAACGTCTTCCACGCGGTCGCTCTGCCCACTTCCGGAGCTTGTCCAATCAAGAGGGTTCTGCTGATGCTTGCCCCGCCCACCCTGTTTCTTGTCCAATTAGCAGGGCTTTAGCTGTGCGCTCGCGTCCCCCGATCCAGTCGTCAGGGCTCTTCCAGTGGTTGCTCTTTCCGCTGCTTTCAGCGGTCCACCGGCAGGGCTCTCCTGTGATTGGTCCGCTGTTTCTTTCCACGTCCAATTGGAAGGGGCGCCCCATTGATTACCCCGCCTACCTCGGCTGAATTTCGAGCCGGCCCCTGAAGAAGCAAAGGGTGCGGGTCGGGGGTGGTCGTGCTTCCCAAGGGGCCGTGGTTGGTTCCGGACGCGGGGGTTCGAGGTCTCCGGGTCCTTCCCGAGTCTTCCCGGCTCTGGATGGCCGTCGGGGGGCCGCGGCGTGAGCGAGGACGGAACCCGGGCTGCCCCCGCACCCCCTGCCGCGCACCGTGACGGCGCGGGCGGAAGCAGGGCTTGAGGCTCGTTTCCGGCAGGAGATCCTGGCCGCGGAGACCAGCCTGACGGTAGAGCAGGTCTACAACTGGTTCGCCAATTACCGGCGGCGCCAGAGGGCCGGTCTGCAGTGCACGGAGCCGGCGGGGGACACGGCCGAGGACCCCTTGCAGCCCTCACGCCACTGCCACCCCGGCTTCGGGTGTGTGCACTGGCCTCAGTGGTCAGGTGAGTGGTGGTTGGGGCGGACGCCTGGTCACTGCACCCGCTGTCAGGGCCCGGCCCGGGTACGGTCTCCGGGGACGCCGTGCCCCGACCTGCGCGGCCGGACTTCACCCTTAGGAGCGAGGACGTTGAGGCTGAGGGTCAGGAGGGGCTGCCGCCGTTTTGCCAGGCCCAGGGTCGAGTCCCTCGGGAAGTGAGCCACGCACCAGGATGCAGGGCGTCTTAATTTCGGATTGTCGTTCAGACCAAAGATGAATCAGGGGACAGGGAATATCGGGTGACTCGGGGGTTACAGCCTTTCCAGCCAGCCAGGCTGATGTTGACCTGCTGGGAAGGAGGCTGGAACTTGAACTTCAACCAGCCTCCCATCCTATCTGATCGGCTTTCGACAGGTGAGGAAAGCGAGCATGCGCGGTCCCTGGCGGCCACCCACGGCCTGTGGGAGCCTCTGGCCCTGGCCTCTGACTTTTCCGGAGACGAGACAATGCCAAAACCACTGACTCCCAGGTACTGCCGTCCCCACAGGCTGGGGAAGTCCCTCCTCAGCTCCCCTACCCTCAGCAGGAGACCCGGCCCGGAGTGGGCATGGGAATGGGGGGCCAAGACTGGGACCAGGTCAGTGGCAGCTGCGACCCCAGGGGTGGGGAGCCGCTGGCAAGGGACCCAGGTCCGCACAGTTCACGGGTGACTGACTCAGCCTGGCTTCCCGTACACAGTGGAGGATGGGAAAACAGACGTAGGGAGAAAAATACGCAAACATGGCCTGAAGGCAGACCCAGCTGTCGTCGTTGGTCTGTTTCTGGTATTTTGTTTGGCTTGTGTTTCCTTGAGTTCGTGACAGCCAGCACTGCTGAGCTGCTGCTGCGCACCAGGGACAGCGGCCGGGCCTGGCGCCTGCCGCGCAGGCCGAGACCGCTCTCCTGTGACGCCCCTGCCCCACCTCCCTCCCCCGTGGGGACGTGGGGAGTGTAGGACCTGCCACGCGGGTTCTTACGAAGGTTGCTGGGGTGGGGGCTGTGCACATAAGCCCGGGAGCGTCATCTAGGACACGGGGCATCTGCGGAACGTCAACCCTTTGCGCTGTTGTCACCTGTAGCCCCTTAACATCAACCGTCAGGGCATCAACCAGCTCTTCGGCTCCTGGCTAATCACGTCCAGCTTTCAGTATTGTGGAAGAACGCTTCGTTGAAGGTCCTTGTAAATGTACTGCCCACGTACGTTAGGTCTCCAATAATCATATTTTTTAGTGTTTCTAGAAAGTTTGCAGCCGCAAGGAGAACAGTGAAGGCGGCGGGATTAGGGAGCGGTGGGCCCCACGCCGTCAGCGGCAGCCCTGGCCTGAGCCGGCCTCCGTCCACCCAGGGACGGTGTTCGCGGTGTTTCCCAGGTCTCTGCAGGGTGGTGAGATGTACCAGGAGGGGCCTGGCCACGACCCTGCCACTCTGCCCCCCGCCTGCCCTGACGCTGGCCTCGATGCACTGGCTGCCTGCGGCGACATGCTGGACCCCTCTTCGGCCGCCCCCAAGTCGTGGCTGACGTCCCTTGCACTGGCGTCCTCCAGGGACGTGTCCTTTGAGACCGGACAGCTGGGCCACAGCGCCAGGCTGGACCTCGTGATGCTCCCTGCAGACGCTTCCCTGGCTGTGCCCATCGCCCCCCTCGCGGAGCCCAGCCCCGCAGGTGAGTCTGCTCCACACGGACGAGGAGTTTCCGCACCGGAGGCTGCAACTGTTGGGGTCCCTCTGACGGTAGGGGGGTGGGGCAGGCTTTCCACTTGATCCACTTACAAACGCCGAATCCCGTATTTATAAGACCCAGAACCAATGCACCTGAAACAGGCTCTTCCCACAGCATCTCAGTTAACACTTCTCATTTATGTTATTAGTCAAAGCAAAACATGCACACAAAACAAAAAAAGACAGTGAGGAAAGAGGGAAAAATGAAATGAGGCGGCGGCCAGCTCTGGGCTCTCCACTCAGGTGCACCCAACCACTTGCCGCACCTGCCGGATGGAGGGTGAAGCTTCCCAGACCCTTCCCCTCCCCACTTTCACCCTGCGATAGAGATATCATTATCTTAGTTTCCTCCTAATTATCATTGTAGTTACAAACACCTTCCGAATATACACTTAGACACGTCTTCGTGTTTTGTCCATTGGTACAGTAGCATCTTGTGACATCCCTCCTTGTAAGGAAGATGCTGACACTGTGAACTCAGCCTTTCACCCAAATTTCTGAGCCTTCTGTGTTTGCTTACCTGGTGTTTTGGAGTTTCTAATTGCCTTTCTGTTACTCTTACACTGCCTGCTTTTTCCACACCCTTCGGTCTTCCCAGTGCCTGCAGGGCCCCCTCGGACACCTTGCCGCCGGGACCCCCTTCTCCCTGGGCCCCTCCCAGTGGCGTCTTCTCCCTGGGCCTGGGGGGCGGCCACTGCACCGAGAACCCCCCGAATTGCTTCTCTGGGTTTGCCCCAGCGTGTCCTGAATGACAGGTCTCATTGGTTGTGTTCAAGAATGTCTTCAATTAACTGCAGTATCACTGCAAAATAAATTTTCTGATGAGTGTTCTCAAGTTGTCTTTAGTCTCCCCTGAGGTCTGACTGACAACCTGGCAGGGAAAGAACTCCGAGTTTAAAATACTTTTTCCGTTAGAAACCTGAAGGCAGCCGACGCTCTGCCGGTGTTGTTGATGAGTCGCGTGTCGCTGTGATGTTACTTCTTTGCAGGACACGTGTGATCCCTTTATTGGAGTTTTCTAAAAGATTAAATTCATGGAGGTAACGTTGTTAGTAACAGTTATATAATTTGCAGGTGCACTTTGTCGTAATTTCACATCTGTATACGCAGTTGTCGCTCGGCCTCCTGCTACCACATGTTTGATCCCTTTACCCAGTTTGCCCGCCCCCACGCCCTTCCCCTGGTAACTGCCATTCTGTGGTCGGTATCTGTGAGTTTGAGGTTTTTCCTTAGTTTATTTATTACCTTTTGTTTAAAATTCTCTCCACTATGAATGGATAAAGCTGCAAAAGGAGGATTGTTTGTTTGTTTGTTTTTAAGAACATCAAGACAAGTCCTCCAAATCTTTGTGTTGCTGAATTTCACAGTGATGGTTCTAGGTATTTTTTATTCACTTTGCTGTTCAGTGTTTGAATTTAAAACAAGAAAACAAGGTCTCCTTTAAGCTCTGGACATTTTTGGTAATATTATTTGATTGATAATTTCTTCCCTCTGTGTTCTCAGTTCTCTCTTTTGAGCGCAAATGTTATTTGGTTGTTGGAATCCTGGATCAGTCTTAAAATGCTTATTTTATTACCTTGTTTCTTGTATCATCTTTTCTTTGTTATTGTATATGCTTTTGAGTGTGTTTCTTAAACTCTGTCTTCTGATATTTTATTTTGATAGATACTGTAAGAGAACGCCAAGCTTTCTTTCCTTATCTCAATTTTCCTTTTTTCATAGGTTATGTTGCTTTTTGTAGATGCAGTATTTTCTGTTTCTCTGAGTGTCTAATTAGGAGTTTCAAAAACTGTGCTTTGTTACCTGAGGGCAGAATGTCGGGCTGAGGGCCTGGCTCGCCCCGGAACAGAGAAGGTTGAGGGGCAGAGAGGGAGGAAGGGCCTGCAGCTCTTCAGTTTGATCAGATGGGCCTTTCCGCCCTTGCTGTCCTTCTGTTTCTGCCGCCCGACACTCACGTTAGCCTGGTTAGTGTTCACCAGCCAGGCCGAGGGGTGGAGGAACAGTCGCTGAGCCACCTCCTTCTGGATTGAGGGGAACCGGTCTCTACTCTGCGTCCAGCACCTGGGATGGGCAGTGTGGACTGGGAAGTTGCCAAATTCCCTGCCAGCCCCTGAGCCCCAGAATGTCGCCCCACTGTCCCTCACGGTCCCCTCCCCGCTTTAAGCTCCTCAGGGAACGTGGCCCTGACCTGTGCTCCGGCGTCCTTTCAGATGAGGGGCCGCGTGGATGGTGGCGTGGCCCAGGCTGGCAGAACTGGAGGTTACCGCCTGCCGTGGCCTCTCCACGACCTTCCCCTTGTCCTGAGATTGTGGCTTTTTTACTTCTCTTGGAGGGAGGAGAAATAGCCCATTGATCTATTATGTTTGAACCAAAAATGTTCAAATTAGCACTTAACTGGAGGCCCTGTCCTGCAGGTCCCGGCTGCGCTGCCCGGGAGCCCAGCCCCTTCCTTCCCTGATCAGGTCGTGGGCTTTGCTCCCGCGCAGGGTTTGCCGTCGCACCCAGCGCAGACCCCCAGCGGCCGTACCTGGAGGAGGGTCCGGGCAGCAGCGCTGGCCCGGCAGAAGGGCAGGCAGGCAGCTTCCTGCTGGCACAGCCCCTGCTGCAGTCTGCGGAGCTCATCCTTCCCCAGAGGTGAGTCTGCAGGCCCCGTGCAGCGGCGCCAGTGGCGTCCTTCGCTGCCGGTTCCTGGGAACGGCCACGGACCCCCGGTCCGCCAGACGGAACGGGGGCGTTTCATCCCGGGCGCAAGGGCACCTGGAGATCTGGGAGTGGGCACGCGCGTCTGCCCTGAGATGGCCCTGGGCCCCAGCACCCTCGTTTTGGCATCGTGTTCGTCCCAGATAAAGGCCATCAAGAGTTTCTGAGCAGGAAAAAGATCCTGATTTTATATCCACATTGTAGTTTCCGAGGGGCTTGGGAGGGCTGTGGGCAGCCTGGGCGCCGTGCGCTTCGGCCGTGGGGCCGGGACAGTGGTGTCGGGGCCTCTGCCGGGGAGGGAGCCGCGAACTGCCCCAGGGTCTGGTCTCCAGGGTCCGGGCCTCCCTGAGCAGCTGAAGGCCAGGTCCCCAGCGAGGGCAGAATTACACAGGGCATGGGGTGGGGGGACAGTCCCCCAAGTCTCAGGCTCTGCTCCTTATGAAGCAGCCAGATGGGAAAACTATGACTGTGGATGGGCACGCTCTTCCCTGGTGACCAGGCCGCGTTGGGGCAGGTGCCTTCCCGGGGGCTCCGCGGGCCTCGCCCGTGGACCGCAGCCGCGGCCCATCCGTGTTCTCGTCTGACGTCCTGGATTCTTACTTTCAAAGCAGCTTCCCTGGGGGTGACTGATGAGTAAACCAACGTGTATAGACGACCCAAGCGGTAGTTTTCTGAGGGCGACTTACCCCCCCCACAAAGCTCTGACGCGCTCAGGCTGCAAGCCTTGCAGGTTGGGCCCTCACCTCACCCCACCACCCCTAGGACCGAATACCTGCTTTTTTCAGCTGCATTTTCCAGAGTGTCACATAGGTCAGATCGTAGAGTAACGCACGGCCTGGCTTATCCTGCCCGGCCTGGCGGCCAGCTTTGCCCTGCTGCTCCCCGGACCAGCAGCCGTGTCTCCCCATTGCTGGGCCCCACCCCGGGTGCGGGTGGGTCCGGGTTTGCGGGCCCACCACCCGAAGGGCCTTTGGAGCCCCAGGTTTGGGGCAGTGGTAAGCGTTCCCGTGCACGTGTCCTGTGTGCATGTCTGCCCATTCCGTGTCTGCTGGCAGCACGCACCTGGGAGTGCAGTGCCTGGGTCACAGCCTGTGGGTGCGATCGCCGTTCCGAGGAACTGCCGGCCAGTTGCCGGCCAGTTGCCAGCCAGTAGGAGCTGCTCTGGTCACCTTTCCTGTCGTCTCTGCTGCTCCCTGTTTTGGCCCTGGGGTCCTCTTGTCTCCTTCACACCACAGTCCCGTCCCTTCGGCGAGATCTTCTCTTCCAGTGTCCCTGGGACCCTGCCCTGCTGCACTGTCAGCTGCCCGGGCCCTGTGCTCGGTGCCACACAGGCCCCTCCGGCACCCTGCACGCCTGAGGGCCCGAGGGAGGAGGCTGGTTCTGAGCATCTGGCACGTGGAAGGGCTCCTGGCGGGGGTGGCGGGGTGCCCCTTGGGACAAGCCCTTTTCTGACACGCCCTTTTTCCAGCCTCCCGGAGCTGACATCTGCCTTCCCTGTGCCTGTGCCTGCTGTGGAGCTGAGCGAGCCCCCGCCACCCAGCCAGGTGAGGCGTTCCAGCAGGTGACGCACGCTTCCTCCCTCGCTCCTGAACCAGAAGGCCAGCAATGAACATGGGCGCAGAGGCCTCGAGGCCGGATGGCAGGGGAAGGGGAGGTGGGGGGGGGGCGCTGTGGGGCAGGGCTGTCCCAGGGGAGTGGGGAGCCAGGCAGAGGGCGCCTGCGTGTGTAACGCTCAGTTGGCTTTCCAGGTGCAGTGGCTTGACAGCCCGGCCTCCAGCGATGCCTTCTGGGGGGCCAGGATGCTCCTTGAGCTCTCAGGCAGTAGCCTGGGCTGAGCCGCCCTTCCGAGCCAGGCCATTGCCCCAGGGGAGCGGGTGTGGACATACAGCCGTTCAGCGCAAGTTGCAGAGCTTCTTCTGGATGGAAAAAGGAGGTTCCCCAAGTTCTTGGGGCGGCGGGGGGGGGGTTTCCACTGAGAGGCGTTGTGGGCTCCTTGGCTCACGCCTTGTTTGGGTAGTTTGGTTGGCAGTTCCCGATGTTGGGGGCAAGCATTTGAGAAGCGTTCATGAGGTGGGTGTGCCCCACGGAGGCAGCGGCGGGTTGTAGCTCCCGGCTGCTGAGCTGGTTGCGACGGGCCAGCCTCCCACCCAGTGGACTGGGCGAGTGGCGGGTGGCAGCACCTGGGGCCTCGGGGTCTGTGGGGCTCCCACCTGGAGGCCACATGGTGGTCCAGCCGGCGGGGCGCTTGCACTTCACTCTCAGGTTGTACTTCATTCTGTTTGCAAAACAAGCATTTTATTCAATAAAATTAAAGTTCGGTGTTCTGAGTGTCTCGTCTCGCTCGCCCGTGTTCTGCACACTGTCCGATCACTCTGGCTGTCGGTCCCTGGCCAGTGCTTCACAGCGTGAGCATGTCGCCTGTGAGTCACGGCTCGTTAAGGGACGGCCGCATCGGTCCTGATGTCCCTTTTCATAAGCAGCGTCACAGTGCGCATCTTTGACATCTGCCCTTTTCCTAATTACGATGTAGTAGCAAGGGACTCTCCCGGGTGGAGGCGGCCGTGCCCGGGCGCACACGGTGCCAGTGGCGAGCCCAGTGCATTTCCCGGCACACGTGACCCCCTTTTCCACAGGTGACTTGGACACTGGACTGTTACCTCCAGGCATCTTGTGTGATTCAGAGGGGACAGCGTCACGCTCGTGCCCTCTGTGCTCATGAGACAGGGAGGGGCCAGCAGGCAGCAGTGGGCAGCTGCCCATAGGGCCCCGTGAACGAGGGCCCGGTGAGAGCCCGGGGCGTGAGGCAGCCAGCGCTTGAGCGATGAGACGCTGCGGGTCCTGCAGCGGAGGCCTGTCTGCTGACGCCGCTGAGGCTGCAGGGCCTCAGCTGTGTCCTCCACCTTCACCCTGAGAACCCGCGCGCCATCGTGTCCCGCCCTCGTCACCGAACCATGTGTCTGAAGGGGCCACAGGTACTTCTACCAGAGGCACCTCCCACATCCATTGTTCCCCCAAACCGCCCGTCTTTCAGTATCAAAATACTCGGCCCGGGCGCTGTGGCTCTGGGGCGGGTCCGGCGTCCGAGCCAGGGGTGGTGGGTTTGGTTCCCAGTTGGGGCACATTCCCGGACTGTCAGCTTGGAGGCAACTCATCCGTGTTTACCTTTCTCCTTTCCACTCTCTAAATGTAAATAAGTAAATTGATCACAATATTTACTTAAAAATAGCAAGATTAGAAAAAGCCTGAAATATATAGAAATACATGGATGTGATATAAAGATCACTGGAGAGTAAGTTACGTGCCCCCCAATCACTCCTCTCATCCTGTGTGTTTCCGATACAGAATTCTACTCATGTTCAAAATCAGATCGGCACTGACACTTGACTACCTTCTAATTGCCACACCCCATTAAAGTTCAATGAATTCTCCCAACCGCCTTAAATTATGAAAAAGTCCCACCCCATAATCACATGCTGAGCTGATGTGACCTGTGACTCAGTGCTCTTGATCCTGGAACAGTCCTAGTTTTTCTTGGACTTCCATGACTTTAACACTTCGAAGATTATAAGCCAGTTATTCTGCAGAAGGTCCCCCGAAGTGGCTATGCCTGATGTCCCCTTGTAATTAAGGACATACATTTTTGGGAGGTATGTCCCAGAAGAGACACGGGGTCCTTGTGGCACGTTACATACAGCAGCACACAATTTTGATCATCCCAATGTTGATAGTGTGAGTCATAAAACATTCAAGGCTCAGTCTCGGTGCCGGCACCTCCATCTGTTAAAGCCCTCAGCCGACCTTCCAACCTGGGAAGCCGACGTTACCTCTGGGGCCCCTGGTGACTGAATGGGGTGGCGTGACAGGAAACGAGACCAGGAGAAGAGAGCGGGGCCTGATCCGGAGTCTCCGCCTGTGCCGACGGTGGAGGCCTGATTCTCCAGGCTGGGGCGGGGGAAGCTGTTGGTAGTTCTCATGCCTGGGGAGTCACAGGATTAGATCCCCATTTTTGAAAGATCAGCTGGTCACAGTGTGGAGACTGGGTTGGATGAGATGGGGATGGGAAGCAGGAAGCAGCGGGAGGACCGGTGCCAGGAGGCTCTGGCCTGAGCTGAGGGTGGACGTGAGTTTGCCGGGGAGCAGGAGTATGAGGCCCAGGGAGAGGCTGCGGTCACTGCTGCCCTGGGGGCGCAGCCAGACGGTGCCAGAGCGCGTGCCCACGGGAGCCTGGCTCTGCGAGGTCCAACCTTGCAGCCTCTCAGGACGGAGAGCTGAGTCTTAAGCCTAGGCCTTCCATCGATGAATATTCTAAGACATAAAAATGAGAAATTCCACAAGTGACAAAACAAAGACTCTGATAGGTTTGCACTGTGTCCAAAAGAACACAGCTTGTAAATGACAGACCCAGGCTCAGATCAGTTTTAGATGGAAAGCCAGGAGTTCCCTCTGTCAGAACTGCAGCAATTGCATACGAAGAAGTGCCAATTATAATAGAAGGCACTTTGGGCTAAGAAATTGGAATGTTTCTCCTCTCTGACTGATAAGAGACCAGGCTGGGTGAGCAAAGAAAAGGGGGTTGGGGTGGTGCAGGAGGGTGCGGGGGACACATGGTGATGGACGGTGGCTCCCCTTGGTGCGCGGAGCACGCAGGGCAGCGCGCAGACGATGTGCTGTGACACAGCATCCCAAACTCGGGTTTAACTGGGTTTCACCCAATTCAGTCAATGAAAAGAATTTAAGAAAAGGCTTGTTTTGTCACTACAACAATTCACATTATTATAATTGTAGCTACCCCGTGTTTTTCTCTAGTACTTTTTTTCTAAAATAAAAAGGGCTTTGTTTCAGTTTACATAAACAATAAAGAAAAATAAAATTGATTTAAAAATCCTACCCTAAGAGGTGAAAACTGCTTTAGTATTAGTATATTGCCCTTCAGACATCGGTAAGTGAACATTTCCTTTATTCTATTGTAGTTTCTCAGGATTTTACTACAGTAGGTCCTTCAGGTGGATACAAAACTTGTAAATTTTCAGTTTTTTCTCTTTTCCTGATATATGCACTGTTTAAGACTATAATTTGCTGTCGGTTTAGGTATGTAGTGATTTTTACTATCATTCATTTCAAATTGTTTTCTAACTCCAGCTGTAATTTATTTTGCGGATTATTTAGAAGTATACTTCATGACTTTTATATACAAGGACTTTCTAGTTCCCTTTTGTTACTGGTTTCTAGCTGAACTGCAATGAGAGCAAGAAGCACGCTTTATACAGCTGCCAGCGGTGCCCGTTTATTGAAACGCGCTGCGTGGCTGCGCGGGGTCGGGTGTGAAGCGCCCCGGGCGCGCGTCTCTGCTGCCACCTCGTGGTCGCCCCCGGAACAACACGCAGCGAGGGTCCGCGGGCGGCGGCGGGGCGCCGGGGACGCCTGTGAAAGTCGGATCCAGTTGGCTGTTCCCGTTAGGTTTTTTAATCCTTACTGATTTCTGGTGTGGGTGCATTTGTTCTGAAAGAGGCACGTTCTATCCCTGAATCAGAGAAGTGTGTTAAATCCATTACGATGATAAATTCGACGACTCCTTGCATCGCTGTCTCCTGCTAGTGCGCGCGTGCAAACGGCGAACCTCTCGGTGCGAAGTGCTTTCTCTTCCCGCGGACGCTATTTGACAAGGTGCCTGCATCTGATCACACAGGCTGGTTTCGGTTTACGTTTGCATAATATCTCTCCTCCCACTTTTCCACGTTCAGTCTCGTTTACACTCTGACCTTCCCGCACCCGCGCGGCGCTCGGCTCGGCCTCCCGCGGCCCCGCAGCGCTTCTCGGTCCCGCCGGTCGCCTCCTCCCTCCCCGCGGCCTCGGGACCGGGACGCGCTGGACGATGAGCCCGCGTGGGCGGAAGGGCGTCCGCGAGTCGCGCGGGGGGCGAGGGTCCCGGGACGAGAGCGGAGGGGGGGCCGCGACGTCGGTCCGGGGACTTCGAGAACTTGGGGAGGAGGAGCGACCGGGCCGCTACCCAGTGCGGGGCCGAGGGGCCGGAGGCACAGGCGGGGTGCGATCGCGGGGGCCGGGTCGGGGTTCGCGGTCCGGGGGCGAAGCCCAAGTGGAGAGGGGAGGGCGGGAAGCGTCTGGAAGGAGGACAGGCCGCTGGTGCGCTGTGCTGGGAAGCGGGGTGCATCGGAGAGGGTTGGACCGGAGACGCCTGGGGGAAGCGTTTGAAAGGGTTACTTTGGGGGCCGGAGGGGAAAAGGCCCGGGTCAGCATTTGGGTGGAACCGAAAGAACTGAGGTTCGGGGCCGGGGACCTGCGGGCAGGCGGAGGTGGAGGAGACCGTGAGAGACTCCGTGAGGGATCGGGGCAAGGGCGATGGGGCGGGGACGGGACCCGGGGCCGCGCGCTCGCACAGGTTTGGGGGCCTCTCCCCGGCGGGAAGGGAGAGCGCAGCGGAGCGGGCTGGGGGTACCCGCGGACGCGCTCGCCAAGGCTCAGCCCCCTCTTTCCTGGTTATGAAGAAGAAAAGACGAGAAAAGAGACGAAAACACGGGAAAACCGGCGTCTGGGAGCGAAGGGCTGGCTTCTCCCGTTTTCCGCGGTGCGAGGACAGGGAGGGCCGCGCGGGGCTGGACCCCGCAAGCCGGAGCGGCGGCTCCGGACGCCCGAGAAGGGCCCGGCGCACACGCGCGGCCCCGGGCAGCGGGCTCGTTGCGGGAGCTCTTTTCCCTCCAGGCCTTTCCTCGGCTGCTCAGGGGCCCGTGGGGAGGGGTCGGCGTTTGCGCGTCCGAGGTGTCCCCGGTGGAACAAACGCTCCCGTCCGAGCGGACGCCGCCCCGGCGGACGCCTCGTG